GCTGACGTGCGGCCTTGTGAATGGCCGTCAAAAGAGTTTATGGTAAATTCAGGCATCAAGGATGAATTTGATGCATATGTGCGTAACACCGATCTTGAGGACTTCATGCAAGATAAGTGTCCTCAGTTCTACTATTTGATAGATTCATTCGTGAGAAGGTTTAAATTTACATCTTCACGTAATTCTCAAAGTGTCATGTTTGATATTTATGATCAATCATATACCATGGACCTAGAAGATTTTACTACTGCTTGCAAACTCCCGCAGTGGGTAGTGTTAATGAACCCCGTAAATCTGAATATAAAGACTTTCTTGCTAGTATCATTGTGGGAGAATCTAGAGATATAGCGCAAGCTACCATAGGGAGCATTCATTTTCCTGCTATACATTATTTTACTCTTTTCATTGGTAGATGCATTAATGGTAAGGATGAAGCATGTCACATGTGTGTTCCTGATCTTTGTGTTCTCAAGAGTGTTGTATTAGGTAATAAAGATTACAAGTTGGGGGCAATTGTTGCACGTAGGTTGCATAATAATGGTTTATCTGGAGATTTATTTGGAGGGATTTATGAGACCCGTGTTGCTAATTATCTTGGTATACCTCCACGTGATGGTGATAGGGAGTTGCCTCCCGCTTATTTAGATTATAATGCTATGGTCAGTCATCATTTTCTTGAGAGGAATGAACAATCCCTCCAGTATAGACTAATCTTTGACAGACGTCGCTCTGTCCATGTTACTCTCCCTGCTCCTGCCCTTTTAGATTATCAGGCAAAAAGAAGATATGTTGTGACCAGGGAGGAGGCAACCGAATACGAGAGGAGGACGGAGGCAGCTCGCCGCCATGCCGCAGCCCAGGAGGCAATGGTTGCTGCATCTCAGTACGACCCCAGTTACAACTTCGGGTATCAGTCAGGCTATCCATGGCCATAGACCAACTTAGGCCAAAAGCCTAAGCTTGGGGGAGTACGTATCTCTCACCGACATTACATTCATGTTCACACACTCATTCTAGTTGTTAGTGCTCATACTTTTTCATTGTATTATCCATGCTAGTTTAATTTCTTTTTCTAGCTTTCTTCTTGTGTGTTTGATAAACCTTAAGAAAAACCAAAAAAAATAGTTAGTTTAGTTTACATGCTTGTAGTAGTAATTAAATGAAAACCCAAAAAGATTTCTCGTTCTTCTTTTGCTTGTTGGGAGCTTTCCCATGTAAATAGTTTTATTTCTTTTCTTTTCCTTTGGGGTTGAGAGGAGAAGACCATAATGAAAATGCTTAGTGGCTCTCATATGCATGATTGTTGATTTAACCAAGAGCCCATATTACCTTGTCTTATCCCTTGAATTGAATGCTTGCAGATTCCAGCTTAGTCCAATGCACGTGCACTATTATTATTATTATACACACTGTTCGGTCGTGCAAGTGAAAGGCAATAATGACGATATATGATGGACTGATTGAGATGAGAGAAGTTGGTATGAACTCGACCTCTCTTGTTTTTGTAAATATGATTAGTTCATCGTTCCTGATTCATCCTATTATGAATAAACATGTTTGCAATGACAATTAGAGATTATAGTTGCTTATGCCATGCTTAATTAGCTAGGAGCTCATAATGGTTTACCTTGCGTGCCAACATGCTATTAAAATGGTTGTGATGTGGTATGATAGGGTGGTATCCTCCTTTGAATGATTCGAGTGACTTGACTTGGCACATGTTCACGCATGTAGTTGAAACAAAATCAACGTAGCCTTCATGATATTTATGTTCATGGTGGATTATATCCTACTCATGCTTGCACTCGGTGTTGATTAATTTTAATGCATGTCATGACTGTTGTCGCTCTCTCAGTTGGTCGCTTCCCAGTCTTTTGCTAGCCTTCACTTGTACTAAGCGGGAATACTGCTTGTGCATCCAAACACCACAAACCCTAAAGTTATTCCATATGAGTCCACCATACCTTCCTATATGCGGTATTTACCTGCCGTTCCAAGTAAATTTCTATGTGCCAAACTCCAAACCTTCAAATGAAATTATGTTTTGTATGCTCGAGCAGCTCATGTATCAACTAGGGTTGTCTGTATCTTCCATGCTAGGTGGGTTATTCCCAAGGGGAGTGGACTCCGCTCCTCATTCACAAGAAAATGGCTGGTAACTGGGATGCCCAGTCCCATGATCAAAAGATCAAATCAAATCAAAATAATTAAACAAAACTCCCCCAGGATTGTTGCTAGTTGGAGGCACCCGTTGTTTCGGGCAAGCCATGGATTGATGCTTGTTGGTGGTGGGGGAGTATAAACTTTACCATTCTGTTTGGGAACCGCCTATAATGTGTGTAGCATGGAACATATCGAGATCTCATAGTTGTTATGTTGACAGTGAAAGTATACTGCTCAAAATGTTATTCATATCTATTTCACAATCGAGCTCTGGCACCTCTACAAACCCCTGCTACCCTCTACGAAGGGCCTATCTATTTACTTTTATGTTGAGTCATCACCCTCTTATGAAAAAGCACCGCTGTCATTTGCATGCATTACTATTAGTTTATATTGGGTATGACTTGACTGGATCTCTTTTACCATGAATTACAATGTTTAGTCGGTCCTTGATCTTTAAGGGTGCTCTGCATTTATGTTTTACGGTCTTAGAAAGGGCTAGTGAGATACCATCTGGTCATATCATATTATGATTGTTTTGAAAAAGTGTTGTCATCCGAGTTTTATTATTATTGCTCGCTAGTTGATTATGCCATTGATATGAGTAAACATGAGACCTACGTGTTATTGTGAATATGGTTAGTTTATAATCTTTGCTGAAAACTTGAATGCTAGCTTTACATATTTACAATAACAAAAGCAAACAAAGTTTGTAAAATTTTTTCTTTATCACTTTCAGTTTGTCAACTGAATTGCTTGAGGACAAGCAAAGGTTTAAGCTTGGGGGAGTTGATACGTCTCCGTCGTATCTACTTTTCCAAACACTTTTGCCCTTGTTTTGGACTCTAACTTGCATGATTTGAATGAAACTAACCTAGACTGACGCTATTTTCAGCGGAACTGCCATGGTGTTATTTTTGTGCAGAAACAAAAGTTCTCAGAATCACCTAAAAATCCACAGAGATTATTTTTGGAAAATATAAAAAATACTGGCGAAAGAATCAAGGCCAGGGGGCCCACACCCTGTCCACGAGGGTGGGGGCGCGCCCCTGCCTTGTGGGCCCCCTTGATGTCCACCGACCTCAACTCCAACTCCATGTATTCTCTTTGACGGAGAAAAAAATCAGAGAAAAATTTCATCGCGTTTTACGATACGGAGCCGCCGCCAAGCCCTAATCTCTCTCGGGAGGGCTGATCTGAAGTCCGTTTGGGGTTCCGGAGAGGGGGATTCGTCGCCGTCGTCATCATCAACCATCCTCCATTGCCAATTTCATGATGCTCACCGCCATGCATGAGTAATTCCATTGTAGGCTTGCTGGACGGTGATGGGTTGGATGAGATTTACCATGTAATCAAGTTAGTTTTGTTAGGGTTTGATCCCTACTATCCACTATGTTCTGAGATTGATGTTGCTATGACTTTGCTATGCTTAATGCTTGTCACTAGGGCCCAAGTGCCATGATTTCAGATCTGAACCTATTATGTTTTCATGAATATATGTGAGTTCTTGATCCTATCTTGCAATTATATAGTCACCTATTATGTGTTATGATCCGACAACCCCGAAGTGACAATAATCGGGATACTTCTCGGTGATGACCGTAGTTTGAGGAGTTCATGTATTCACTATGTGTTAATGTTTTGGTCCGTTACTCTATTAAAAGGAGGCCTTAATATCCCTTAGTTTCCACTAGGACCCCGCTGCCACGGGAGGGTAGGACAAAAGATGTCATGCAAGTTCTTTTCCATAAGCACGTATGACTATATTCGGAATACATGCCTACATTATATTGATGAACTGGAGCTAGTTCTGTATCACCCTATATTATAACTATTACATGAGGAATCGCATCTGACATAATTATCCATCATTGATCCAATGCCTACGAGCTTTTCACATATTGTGTTTTGCTTATTTACTTTTTTTTGAATTACTGTGAGGCAAAGCCCCACAGCCCTTTATTATAATAAATGGAACTGTACAAACAAATACAGAATATATACAAGGAAAAAAAGGAAAATGTCTACCTATGGCTAAACACCCCTACCTCCTTTACAATAAAGAATCAACCCAAGCCAAGAGTTTTGCTTATTTACTTTACCGTTGCTATTGTTATAATTACTACAAAACTTCTACTGTTACTTTTGCCACCTTTACCGTTACTTCCATACTACTTTGCTACTAAATACTTTGCTGCAGATACTAAGTTATCCAGGTGTGGTTAAATTGACAACTCAACTGCTAATACTTGAGAATATTCTTTGGCTCCCCTTATGTCGAATCAATAAACTTGGGTTGAATACTCTACCCTTGAAAACTGTTGTGATCCCCTATACTTGTGAGCTATCAGATTGCTATTTGACTCAAGGTTGTGTACTGGTCATAAGAGGTAAGCTGCACTAATATTTTTTCCAGTAAAATAAATTATGAAGATACCTCAGTATTCTACTCAGTATTAACATCCAAAAAATGCCTTAATGTCCCGTGCCAACAGCTCAAAAGATCATCTTTTAGGAACTAAGCTTTTGAGGCCTAACTTTCTACATTTTTTGTTCTGACCTCCCAATGTTCAAGACCGAAAACGGTCAGACAAGACCAATAGCTTAAAAATTCGGATGAATGACGTGCATTTAACTTGGAACTAGTTGTCGTGATTACCTATTATGAGCCTAGTTAATTCATTAATTGATAGTGCTCCTCTTCGAGCTTTAGAAGGTCAATGTGTGTACATGCGATCCTGTTTCTACACACCAACAATCCCTCTTTTTAGTTTTTTGGATAAAGCAAACGGCAGATTCAACAAATCCTTCTCATGAACTTCTAGTACAGAGCGTGTTTAATTTTGTACTGAGCACAAACAACAACGATGCCACAGCAGGGGCTGTTCGCAGAATACAGAGATCACTGCCACATTTTGGGTAAAAACAATTCCATTGACACACACTGAACTTACTAGGGAGAGATCGAAGTGAACTGAAGGGATTTGAACCTGCAGCGGATCTTGGCAAGAAGGGGGACAAGGAAGATGTGGTCGTCGCAGGTGCAACCGGACTGAAGCCAAGGCCAAGGTGAAGGAAGGGCAGTGATGGCACTCAGTGGCCAGCGGAGGTGCATGAGAGGTAGGCCGCCGATCCGGGCACGCGGCAGGAGGTGGAGGTGGAGGTCGAAGGCTGCGGATCTGGGGCACATCATGGTGGTTGGAGATCAAAGGTCGCGGATCGGGACGGGTTGGGGATCCGCAGAACAATGCTGTCAAAAACCCCTGCAAACAGAAAAAAAAAATCCAGTCTTGTGAGGAAAAGAACTTACAACAATTGACCACATGAGCTGAGTGGAAAAGAAACGGTGAACTTTTTCTGTGAAATACATGAAAAAATAGCAAGGGGCCATGAGCTTATACTACATATAAGTTTGAATCAATTTTTTATAATTCAGAGTGCACATACTAATCAAACAGCGGCTGAATTTAGCAACTAGCATGCATCACAAGGGAATGTGCAAACAAAGAGAGGGTGTCCTTGCGGTGTGTGGTTAGTGGTTGCCGTGTTTGGTGAAGATCAGGCCACCCTCACCCCGCCCACCACTCAATCAGCCACACACTACATCGTCTACTCACCTAGGACTCCATCTTCACCACACTTTGGACTGACAATGTAGCAACACCATATGCAAGTCACTTGTGCATACATGTAAACGGATGTGATAACTTCTATAGAAGCAAAACAAATGCCCATTTGAACGTGTGGGTGCACCATTCAAGTCCTCTATACTATCCAAATCAGAACACTTCTAAACCAAAACAAGTGAGCATCTTTTGCTAGCCATTGCATCATACTGGTGATGTGCAACAATCAAAAAAACTGGTGCTCCACTTTTCTTTCACTGGTTAGCTCACTATAAGATCACACGAACACTACATGTGCGTCCGTGGTTAGTGCCCCGGTGCGCTGCGGCGCGGGGTCTCGATAAATTGAAAGGCTGGTGCGTTGTGCCAGACTTACGACAGGGGAGTAGATGTACTGAAAAGCACATAAAAATGAACTGAATTTTTCTAGCAGCTCCGCTCCAACAGAAAAGGGTAAAAGGAAGATTTTTGTAGATAAACCCATTGAGTATACAACACAAGTAGATTTTGAAGATTTTGTACTACTGAAGATTCTTTCAGAAACAAAAGTAATTCTTTCAGAAACACATGCCCCTTCACTCATTTTTCTGCTATATTGCCGTGGAAAATTCATACACCAACAAAATTAAACCTGCGATTTAGCAATGACACTAAATTTACATGTCCTTCAAACAAACAACAAACACATACATGAACTGATTATTAATATACTTGAACTTATTCACCGTCAATGTACATGAAATGTTGAACTTATCGGGGAGTAATACATGAGCTCCAGCCCCCAATACAAGTATCATGATGGCAATCTGTACCAATGAATAGCACATGATGAGTAGGCGGCCAAGGTGGCTAGGCTGCTTACCATGATGACGAGGACTCGGATGAGGACGGCGACGAAGTTGGTGAAGAGGGTAAGCGCGTGCTTGATGTAGTCCAAGATGCCACGGTGTGCCCTCTCGATGATCTCCTCCGTGTCGTACACCATGTTGAACTTGTTGAGTTCTGATTTTTGAACTTAGTAATACATGCACTGAGCGGTACAAGATTGTTGGGCAGCTGACCTACAGAAACAAAAACACTGCTGGAGTGCAAACGCAAAATCATTTACAAAAAATAGTGGCAGCAAGAAGCAATAAGCAGCCGCACATTCACGTGTTTTTGAGAGTGAAAAAAATAGAGAGGGAAAGGCGTACGCAAAATGAACTTCATCATGTTTTATGTTGAGCACATCCACAATGCATCATGTTTTATGTTAACCAAGTGAAAGTATGGTGCTAATTCTGAAGCATAACCACAAGCACTTGTTCCTTTTATATGAAGATGTAAACACAAAGGAAAGCGGACTCACCATCGGAAGTAGATGAACTGAAAAGCATACAAAAGAGGAACCTGTGCATCTTGTTTTTGCTGCAACCTGCAAAAATGGAAAGAAATCTGAGAGATGAGGTTTTGTCAAGAGAACTTACTGGGGTCTAGTGTTCGAACTTTTCAATGTTTGTGCTACCAAAAATAGAGAACCGGAGGATGCCTAGACCAGAGCGATGACTTCCTCGGCTCCACGAGCGGCCTCTCATACACCACAAGGGCAACATATACACACACGAACTGACCGAAATACACAACACGGACGGCTAGATACACAAACTGCTAAGAATACATGTCTTCACGACTATGAACTGATAAGAATACACAACACTGCTGGCTAGCTACGAACTTCTTGAAGAACTCCCGTAACGCAAGTTTTAGTTTTTTATGTTTCTTTCGTGTCCATGTTCTTTTCTGAACACCCTGTCTTCTCGACTATGAACTTACTACATAGAAGGATGCTCACATACATGTATTACTTGACAGGAGCTAAACAGAGAAACCTAAAAAGATTTATGTACTTTGAAATACTTAATTTTAACTTCCCAAATACTTCAATTGTTTTGAAATATGAACTTGCATATTTATTTCCTTAGAACTTATTATGTTTTGGGATAAGTATATTTTTCGTCCTTGAACTCCGGCGATAGTGTAGAAATCGTCCCTCAACTTCGAAACCACTAAAACTCAGTCCCTCAACTATTTAAACCGGATATTTTTCATCCCTCACGACGCTTAAAGTGGTTTTGGTATGACGTGGACCCGGTTTTGACTAAAACCGCCCAAGTGGCCTAGTTTGTCCAGTTTGGTGACAACAAATTTTATGTCCAGACTTGTATGTGCTATGTAATCTGACCTAACTGAATGGGATTCATAGTAGATTGTTCACATGATTTTAGACCACTGTGTAAACTGAATGCATGGCAGATTGTTCACTTGTTCATAGATGACTGGACAGAGTACTGAACTGAACAGATTGCATGAAAAACATAGTCTGGCATAAACACAAAGTACTGATTAGTCTTACAAGCAAACCACAAACAGGAATTCTCAAAGTTTGACAAAGTAATGAGAAATAGTCTGACATAACCACAAACAGGAATTCTCACTGCCGGCCATAAAATTTGTTGTTAACAAACTGGACAAACCAGGCCACGTGGATGGTTTTAATCAAAACCGGCTCCGTGTCATACAAAAACCACTTTAAGTGTCACGAGGGACGAAAAGTATCCGGTTAAAAAGTCGAGGGACAGAATTTTAGTGGTTTCGGAGTTGAGGGATGATTTCTATACTATCGTCAGAGTTCGAGGACGAAAAATATACTTATCCCTTATGTTTTCCCTGCAAATTCCATGGTTTTTTAGTGTTTCATTATTTTTGTTTATTTTGTTTCTGTTTTTCTATGAATATAGGGTTATACAATTTGAACTTATAGACTTTTTGTTTATCTATTATAGGGATGACACATTTTTGCACTACAAGAACAACACAAACACAGTAATATTCCTAAGCAAGTACTGTACATATGAACATTTGGGAGCACAATTTTTTTCACTGCATTTACCCCACAACTTGTTACAAGAAAGCACCATCTTTTTTTGCAAACGGTTTCATCCGAGAAGGAGCGCACCCCACGGTGAGGTCAGAGGGTGCGGATCCCAGGTGCACGACAGCGGGTAAAGGTCGGAGCCAGTGGATCCTGGAGCATGGCAGCACGTGAGGTAGGGGAAAATTTTATTGCAGACATATTTGACAACATCGAGTTTAGTAATTATGTGCTTGAACATCTTAAACAAAATACAACAATGACCTCTTGAAATGCCTGAAAAATAACATGCAAACTTATAGCAATTGTTCAATTGAACTTATACCATTAGCAATAAGAACTATATACAAAGATATAACTTGCATCATCAAAATCTAGAGTTTTTTCCAACTCCAGAATATTTTTTACAGGAACAATTAGAGCTCAGGAAATCATCAAATCATCTCAGTGAATAAAGTTTGAAATTGAAAGAGAGGTGCCATATCTGAACCTCCAGTTTTCACAGTGAAAGCAAGTTCCTCCAATTTGCATTATGTTGAAACCGTTTTTTTGAACTTATCGTGGTGCCATATCTGAACCTTTATTTTTCGTTTTATTTGAACTGAACCAAAAATAAGAATTGAGCTTAATTGGAGTGAACTAAAATTTAAAAATTGAACTTAACTAAGATAACAAACAAAACTTTCTTTTAATTACTGGCTATGTGATAAAAATTATTTCCACCCAGGGAACAAATTGTTCTTCATTCAGGGAATTAAAAATGTTTTTGCTCGGTAATCAACAATCTGCACAACAATCGCATATAAACATTTTCCTAGATCATGCTAAACATTTCATGGCAATTCACATTTCAGTGAATTCTTTAGATTTGGAGAAACAAAGAGGAACGAAGGACACCACCTAATTGCACTTGGATTCAGAACTAGCGAAAACATGGGCAAACCTTGAATTCGCGTGCGCCATCCGGAAGGGGGAGCATCGGAACAGAGTAGAGCGGCTACACAGCATGGGTGGTCAGCAGGGAGGGGAGAGGTGATGCAGGTGGTCGGCGCCATGCAGTCGACGGCAAGCGGGGCGACCCTTTGGACCTCGCCGTGGCGAGATACGACTTCAGTTGGCGGTGTTGAACGGACCCGGGTGGCGGCTGTGACCGTCCCCGAAGTAGAACAGAGGGCGTCCAAGAACATCAGCATCTTCCGCGCGCTAGTCGTCGGCGGCATCCACCGGATCTTGGCCGTGGTGGTCGTCGGAGCCCACGAGGCGCAGGGGTATGGGCTCGTGTCGGCGCTGAACACCAGGGGTTCGCTGGGATGAGTGCTTCGCGCGCGAGGGTCCTAAGTAGCTGCCGTAGGTAGGTGGGAACCAGGGTGGCGTGGTGGAAGCAGCGGTGAGGCGGGCCAGCGGTACGGTGGAAGCTGCAGGGGGGCAGGTCGGCGCCGAAAAGGAAGCAGGGGTGGGCCGGCGGCGCATTCGAAGCAGCGGAGAGGCGGGCCGGCGCCACGGGGGAAGCAGGGGGGCAGCGGTGGCGCATGGAAGCAGGGCGAGGGCCGGCGGCGCGTCGAATGGGAGGGGATCGGGCTATTCGATGGTGAGCTGCGCGTCGGTAGGTGTGGGCCTTTTGTCTGTTTTTTTGTAGTTTTTTGATCGGGCGGCGGGGGAGTTTTCTGTGCTGATCCGACCAGCGGGCTCTTATAGGGCCCGGAAGTAACAGAATAATTTCTTCTAAAAATAAATTACTAAATATATCAAAGATTGATCTGCCTGATTAAGTAGATCGGTGGGCTGAAAGCGGTTTAAATAAATTGGTGGGATAGAAAAAAACGATGGGAGAGAATTAACCGGAGTGAAGGCGACGCTACCAACTCCACTTTTGGTGGGCGCGGCCGCCACGTGTCGCGTGCTGGACACTTCCTCGGGGTTTTGTTTTGTTTAATTTTTCTGGACGCGTTTTCAGGTTTCAAATATATTTTTGGGGCTTTTTGGCGTTTCATTTTTTGCCCAGTTTTTCCTCGGTTTTGGACAAAAATATTCAAAAAAATCAGGAAAAGTGTGCCTTTTCCTTTCGCAAGAGGCACAAATTTTCTTCTCCTAAAGGCACAATTTTTCTTCGGAAAGAGATGCAGGTGCTCTTCTCGGGAAAACAAGAAAAATACATTTTTTTCTTCCGCGCGAGGTATAGAATTGCTTCTCGTGAAGGCTTAATTTTTCTTCCGCGAGAGGTGCCTATCGAAAAAGGAAAAGAAATATTGTTTTCTTCCGCAAGAGACACATATTTTGCCGCTCGTGGAGGCACATGTTTGCTTCTGTGTGAGGCACAGTGCCTCTCAGAAAGAGAAAAAATGGGAAGCACATATTTTCTTCTCGTGGAAGCACAATTTTGATTCCACGAGAGGCACTTGAAAAAGAAAAAAAAAACATGTTTTTTTTCTTCCGTGATAGGCACAGTTGTGCCTCTCGGAAAAAGAAAAATGTGTTTTTTTCGGCAAGAGGCACATATTTGTTTCTTGTGGAGGCAGACTTGCTTCTGGAGAGGCACAACCTCTCGGAAAGAGAGAGAAAATATATTTTTTCTTCTTCCACGACAGGCACTGATTTACTTCACATGGAGACACAAAATTATTTTCACGAGAGGCATAGTTGTGCCTCTTAGAAATAAAAAAAAGTAGTGGTAAAATATCGTGCTTCCGGCTTTGTTTTTGTCGGATTTTTTGTGAAAAATAGTTCCACGAAACGTATAAACATGGGATCTAGTTTTGAAATCTCGACACGAGAAATTCAACGGTGAAAACGGTTCGCGCTTTGGAAGCACGATTTAAAAGGTAAAATATTTTGAATAAATGAATCTATGAAAAAAAAGAAAAACTCCAAGGTTGCGAGTCGCAACCTAGAAAGATAGGAGTGACATTTCTAAGGGTTACCCCTTAATTAGTGATTTCAGCCTTTTGGTCCCAAAACCCTGTTTGGCGCCTTAAGTGTCACGTAAAGGCCATTTGGCAACTAGCATGCACCTCCTCTTCACCTTGGGCTCAGCCCATCTTTTTTTTCATTTTTAATAGTGTAAAATATAAAGTAGC